GGTTTAGAGTTTAGGGTTTAGAGTAGTTTAGGGTTTAGGGTTTTAGGGTTTAGGGTTTAGGGTTTAGAGTTTAGGGTTTGGGGTTTAGGGTTTAGGGTTTAGGGTAGTTTAGGGCTTAGGGTTTAGGGTTTAGGGTGTAGAGTTTAGGGTTGAGGGTTTAGTGTAGTTTAGGGTTGAGAGTTTAGGGTAGTTTAGGGTTTAGGGTTTAGAGTTTAGGGTTTAGAATGAAGCAGGGTTTAGAGTTTAGGGGTTTAAAAGTTTAGGGTTGAGGCTTTAGGAAGTTTAGGGGGTTGAGGGTTTAGAGTTTAGGAGGGTGATAGAGTTTAGGGGCTGTAGTGTTTAGAGTGCAGAAAGGTTAGCCTTTAGAATTAAGCAAGGTTTAGAGTTTCGGGGTTTAAGAGTTTAGGGTTCAGACTCCAGGAGGGTGTAGACTGGGGAGTTTAGGGGTTACTTCGGAATGAGAGTTGCTCAGAATAAGACTGCACATGGTCGATGTTATGGTTCCTTTTATCTTCTTTTGGTTTGGGTCTACGGATAGTCTGAAAAGAGAGTCTTCTCCTTCCTGAAAAGAGACCGATCACGAAGAGGGTTTGGTGTTGTTAGGGTTGGGGGCTCTGTGGCAGAGGAGGATACACTACATATATATGGGGGTTTCCAAAAAAAGGGGACCGTAATATAGTACCCTAAATAGTAGGATCCCGATTATAAGGACCCCAAAATAAGGTACCCCTTATTTTGGGAAACCCTCTACCCTAAACCCTAAACCCTAAACCCTAAACCCTAAACCCTAAACCCGAAACCCTAACCCTTATTTTCGGAAACTCCCATATGGTCACCCCGCCAAGATCGAACCCTACCTGTTCGAATCGACTCCACGGTTTGCTTCCATACGTACTTACACGACTCAGATATGCCGAAAGCACCGCGGGAATCTGTCTACCTATCTATATATATATATACATATGATGATCATGATATATCTAGGTTATAGATATATACCCATCCCTCTTTCTCTCTCTCTCTATACATATATCTAAAGATACATACACACCTGCATGCGTGCATGCATGCATGCATATACATATACATATACATATACATGTATATGTACAAGTACATATGCAAATACATATACATGCACATATACATACACATATGCAGATACAGATACAGATGCATATACATGTATGCGTACACATATACATACGTACATATACATATATCATACATATACACATATCTACATATATACCTTTATACACATAATAATGTATGTGTATAGTCATAGATGTTGTAGTAAATATACATATATGCGTACATATATGTCATACATATGCTTAGGCACATATATATATATATATGTATATACATGTATATATTAGACAACATGCTAGAGTACACAATAGCATATTGTAAGATATGACCATGTATTGTACAGTATTTTTTAGATTCTATATCATCTTATATTATACCCGTTTATTTGATTTATTGTCTCCTGTTACATTGTATCAGATGACATCATCTCATGTTGCTTTATTTTACCATATTTCATCATATACCCTTATCTCACATTACACTCTACTGAACCATATAGTCAAATCTTATTTGATTTAATATAGTATAGTAGATAGAATATTGCAGCATAACATACTAGAAAATAGTTCTATATATAATGTAATTAATGTAATACAACATAATATAATGTGATATCGTATAATATAGTATAATGCAGTATAGTATAAAATAATGCAACATAACATGCGAACAGACTTCGATGCCTCT